TTCTTTTAACTCTTCTTCTTCCACACAGCCTGTGGTCCTTGTTGGAACCGGGTGGCACGGTTAGCCCCCCAGCTGTGCAAGAAGTTCTGCCTCCCAGCCTTTGTCTTCAACAGAGGACTCAAAATGCCAGAAGCGGAAAAACAATGAGACAAAGGCTTCCCTTTGCATACTTTTGGGCGCAAGTGCGATTCGACATAAAACCGGCAAACCGGCTCAGCATTTGGAGGGGCTCTGACCATCCATTCAATGCATTGCTCTGGGTCATTCAAATCATACTCTTTTTCATCATCGCTCTTCGATGCCTCAGGAAGCGGAGCCTCCGCAGAAGACGCTTTCACAGGACAGGCTTTGCCAGGAACAGGAGCAGCTTCACCAGTGTCAGTTGCCTTGTCCGAATCCTTCTTCTCTGCCCGTCTATTCATTTCCTTGTAGAGGTCATCAACCTGATTCAGCATAGCATGCTGCTTTGGCGTCAAAGACTCATCTGGAGGTAGTTGCAGCTGCGGGTTCTGGCGCCACCCACTTCGGTAGCCCTTCTTGTGGATGTTGAAGTCCTCCTGTTTGAACTTGTCATTGGGAGTTCGACAATGAGGGCATAACTGCCAATTGGATTGCACAAACTGTCCACAGCCACTTTTCTGGCATTTGGATTTGCCTGGAGAGACCTGTTGCATCACTTGCAAAGCAGGAGTAGCATGCGCAGGATCCTTTGCAGTAGCTGCGCTGAAAAGCTCATCTGCCCGCTCAACGAACAGCATGTCCCTGTCGATGCGCGATCCGCTTGCCAACCCGCATCTCTTGTAACCGGCAGCAGAGTATTGTTCGCTCAATGCAACCTTGGTAGATGCATGAATGGCGCGCAGAGCAACGCTCAGGGTTAAGGGTTCTGATTGTTTGGCCCATCGCATCTTGAATTGCTTCCAATCATCAGCCAGCTGCTGGTGTGGTTTCTGGTCCAAAGGCATCAGTGCACGGGTTGTGTATACCCGGGCAAATAGAACATTCGGATGTTCCAAGAAAGACAGACTTTTGCGATGTTAGCGCTTAAGTGGAGAAGCGCACCACCGCCTGTGTCTGCAATGAGAACCACAGGATCAGACGCGGGGATCTTCTGCACTTCTCGCGCGTGCTTGCCATACTCTTGCAGCATCCAGCAGAAGCTTTCATGGGTTGTGCTGCCGCTTGGGTTTGCCCAGATCTTGCTGTTGGGGAAGGCGGTCTGGAAATCTGGATGGGCGCGCTTCGTCGGGATAATCACTCCAATGCACGGCTCTCCACACAATGGCAGAAAGGTCAAGAGGGTCACATGATCCCAACTGATGTCCGGGGCTGCGCCAGTTGGATGAGAGCCTCGACCTGCAACTGCTTTGAAGGCGCTGTCTGCGCGGCTTGAAAAGCCTTTCTCATCACTGCAGCAGACTCGGCGAGCCTCAGAGGGAATGATCTTCTTGTCAGTCTTGGGCATGATCGAAGTTGAAAGCAGCAGCTCTTGAAGATTGTCCAGAGCTCTTGCAACGACAGGAGGAGCACGCAACATGCTCAATCGTGCTGCGAGCTTTGATGCCTTTGACCTGAAGCCAACGTTTCTTCTCCTTGTTGTTTTGCACCCACTTGCGGAAGGAACGCCATGTTGACTCCACGTCATACTCCTCTTGGAGGGAGTCGAGCCTGGCTAATGCTGATTCAGTGGTGCAATCATCATCCTTGAGGAGACCATCTTTCTCGAGCTTCAGAAACACCAGCGCCCGCCTAAGGTTTACATTGGTCAGCAGGAAAGGAAAAATGTGCAGTGAACAAGGCTATACACGGAAGAACCTAAAACAGGGAAGCTCACTGATTAAGATTCCGAGAGGCAAGCACTCTTGCACAGAGAGCGCCCGCCCACAGCTAGCAGAGTAGTCAATGTAGTTGAGGAAATCTTCCCGCTCCCGGTCAGTGAGCTGCAGATTTGGAGCGCGTCCACTGCGAAAAGCTGCAGGGCACTCAAGGGGCACGCCCTTGTCCTGCACCATGCGCAGTACTTCCTGAAGTTTGTTGCGAGACATGCGCAAAGGCTTCAAAAAATCGCTGCTCACTTCGCTCTTCTCAACTTGGCCCTTTCGAAAGAGCATTACAAATTTCCCGTAGAGTTCACATCTTTGCTGCGGATGCGCCAAGCGAGAAGAATGAGATTCAGAGATCTTCCGGAATTCCCGGAGAAGGGACTTTACATTGTATCCCTCATCAATGTCAAGAAGCGGCTCACCGCCAACACTGGGAGCAGGCACGGCCTCCACTTTCTGCTCAGCACACCCGGCATCTTTGCCCTCATTTGCTGGGGGCAACTCTGGGTACTGTAGGCTGAAAACTTTCTGCCTGAAGGCAGACTTCTCCTCGTCGCTCATGTGTTCTCGCCATTGTGAAAGATATTCTGCGCGAGGCTTCTTAGCTGTTCCGTCCCAAAAGGGGCAGACTCGAGCAAACCAAACCTGTTCCGATTCTCTTTTCTTGCGAGCAAAGCCGTCCTTTGGCTTCAAGTCTTGAGCTGCATGCATGGAGGCTTCAGCTGCAGATTATTCCTCAAGTCTTTGTGCAAGGTTGGTATCAAAGCATCATTGACAGAAGCCGGGCAAGCATGACTTGTTGCCACTGCTGATTTCCACGGAACAATCCCTGCGCTTGACAGTAGCTAGGTCTTCCTGTTGCCTCCAACATGTCACACATGCATCTGGCACTGGTGACTTCGTGTCCGCAGTGATTTGCACATGGCAAGATACGCAAATTGCATTTCCTGTGTTGCGAAAAAGTAAAGAATCTCAGGCCCCAGTCGGACAGAGTCCTAACTATCAAAATGGTAACAAAAAAAGAAGGGGTGGTTTGTCGAGCTACTTGTGTGTGACCCAGCCACAGCAGCCAGTTCACGAAGAGCTTCGAGTTCCACACCCTCCTTTGGAGGTGTAAGAGTTGCTGGTGGAGGCAATGAAGGAGCAGGTAGCGGAGGATCTGGTTCTGGAACATGGTCTGCAGTTCCTGGCATTAATATTGGGATCTCTGAGAGCTTTTTTTGGCGGCATGGCTGGCGCCTTTGCGTTGCATTTAGACAGGCCCAACAGCAAGCTCACTTAGTGAGCACATGTTGGGCCCCCTCACAAGCCAAAACATTGTAAATGTGTCAGTTCTGAAAACAAGCGCATGACTGCGTTACTTCCATCATGTCGGGCCCCC